CTACCCTGGGGGTTTTTAAGAGGAGGCTAGATGAACACCTTGCTGGGGTTGTTTGACCCCAGTACTCTTTCCTACCATGGCAGGGGGTCAGACTAGATGATCTGCTCAGGTCCCTTCCGACCCTAGAAACTATGAAACTATTTTGCTGTGGCTCTAAGATATCCCCCTGGGACACCTCTACACTGACAGGGGAGCAGCCCAGTAACCCCTCTGTCCATAACCTCCTCCAGCCCTTGAGACCATATCATACAACCCCACCTGCCACCCCAGGCTCCTACCCAACCACTCCAGGCTGACAAAGATCAGACTGGCTTTATTTTTGACAGTTACACAACAAGGCACCAAATGCCCCACCCTCACACCCAACATATGTCCTCTCTTCCCTTCCCCATAGACATGGACAGCAGGACAGGCCAAGAGCTCTCCAGATAAATTAAAATAACCTCCCAGCCAAAGGAACAATCTTGTGCAAGTGGGGTAATGAGGCTGAGCTGGGGATGATGCTGTATGTGGTGGGGGGGAGGCTATGCTAAGGGTAGATGAGATAAGCTGGATAAAACAAGTTGGGCCCCTTCCTGATGATAATGGTGCTGTGGGGATAGAGACAGCCCAGCTAAGCAGGTGTGTATGTGCCAGAGGGAAGGGAGAAGTAGGGAACCCTGGCCCTGGCCCTCCCCCACCCCCCCAATCAACTCCACAAAGAGCTGTTAGACCCCAACAGCAGCCCACGCCCCCCACCCAGGGATGAGGTCTGACTGCATGTGCACGCCCACCGGCCCCCTACTCACATAGCCAGCAGTCGGGCTGCAAGAGTGCCGAAGCGGTCAAAGATGCATCCCGTGGGGAAGGTCATGAAATTGTTCATGAAGGAGCCAATGGTGAAGATGAGTGAGAACTGTTCATCCTGCTCGCTGCAGCCTGGGGGGAGTGATCATGTCATGGGCTGTCCTGGTGGGGGGAGGCTGCCCCAAGCCCTACAAACAGCTCACCCATGCCCAAGCCCAGATCCTCCAGACCCTGAAAGTCACTCATACCCAGCCCTCTGCCTGTAAACCCTTCTGCCTCTCCAAACCACTTACATAGACACCCTCACATAGCCCCCATTCTGGCTCCCCTGACAGAAACCCCCCCACATAGCCCCTATATCAATACCCCATCTCAGTCCCAAAGCCTCCAGCCCAAAAACTGCCCAGGACAGATACAGTTCACTACTTCCCTACCCGCTCCACACTGCTCTCCAGATAATACTCTCCATCCAATACACCATCTCTCCCACCTCTCCACACAGTCCCCGGCACTTGCACTCCTCATACAGCCAAACCCAACACTCTGAAGCCAAAGATCCCCTAAATCCCTGCACCACCCCCCATCTGCTAAAAGCCCAGATGGGGCTTATGGGGAAAGCACTAGGGAGCCAGGAGAAAGGCAGAGAGGCCTTGGGGGTAGGCAAAGGAGGGCTTGTGTACCCATGAATATGCACACCTGGGCATGCTATGATTTGCATTGGCTCTGAATTCATTCCCTCTGCCACACGTGTGCTGGGAGCTCAGCCATACCTGTCTCATGTGTGGTGTTGACAGTCATGTTAGCAACAGGTTTGCAAAGGTCCTCGAAGTAGTCCAGGCCCTTGAGCACGTAGACCAGAGAAGCCCAGCCGAAGATGACGCCCGCAAAACACATGCATTCCATGAGCCCTGAAAGCAGCGTGGCCAGGCGCTTGGCCAGCCCTGCTCCCTGGCTCTCCATGGCACCAGCCTTCTGGCCCTGGGGGAGATCTAGAACAGCAGAGACCACAGCTGGAAAAAGGGCCCTGGACTGGCACTGAGACATGGCTGCCTCATGAATGGGCCCCACACTTGGCCCGAGATGCAGCCACTTCTACGGTGGGGTCAGCACCAGTCCAGCAGCCACACTGCCCCACCACACAGGGGGCCGTCACCCACCCTGGCAATAAGGCCTCCCCTGGGGTAGGTACAGAAACTGTTTACAGAGAGATCCATGTACCAGCTAGGTAAGACTGCTTCTGGGTGATTTCCCAACTGTCCTGCAATGCAGCCACCTCTGGGGTGGGGCATGTTCCCTCTTCAATAGCTGCTCTGCAGCATCACATATCCACCACTGCAATATAGCTACATCTGGGGTGAGGCATCTCTGCTGGTTGTACAGGGGCCACTCACTGATCACTGCACAGAGGCCAGCACTGAAGCTGGGGAGGACACCTGGTTTTTTTTAGAGGTTTCTTCCAAGCACAGCCAAGCAGCTGCCTCTGAAGTGGAGCAAAGCAGCTGTTCAACAGTTCCCTTGCACGGGAGTTTAGGATGGAGTTTAGGAATACTGCATCCAAATAAACCAGTGCAGTTAAAACCAGTGGTTTGACCACTGCACTGGAGTTAAACATGTGAGAACTGGGATGCAGGTGGGGCTTCTGCAAAAAGTGTTATGGGACCTTCCATGCCTGGGAGAATCCAAAGAGCCCTGCTGGGGACCCTGGGGTCTTGTGGCCCGCACTCTCTACCTGGATAGAGCACCCCAACCCTAGTCCTGACCCCACCACTCCCTGCAGGCTAGTGTACCCTGCTTGGTGCAAGCTCTGGCAGTCACAGTGCAACATGAGACCATGGGATAGAACTTACATCAGTCCTCCCATCTCCCCCCTCCCTTGCTTCATTATACCAGGGTGGAGGGAGCTGTTACCCTGTGTCAGCTACCCCGGGAGCCAGGAATGCTCAGCACATGATGAGCTCAGAGGACAGGGGCCCTGGAGCAGAAGAAGGAGCAACAGCCATCTCCCCCACCTTCATGTCTGTCCTGCCCCATATTTTGTACCTTGTTCCCCTTATGCAGGCTCTCTGATCCCTTGGGACTTAAGCTGTGCACCTTCAATACTGTGGCCTGTGCCTGGGAGAGTGGAAGGGGGCAGGTCTCTGACCCTGGTGTTGCAGATGGAGAGATAAGGCCTGGGGAGGTGCCAGGCGGGTGTCTGAGCCAGCACCTTTGGGTGTCCAAGGACAAAGGTTGCTGGTGTGCAGGATTTTAGTGCTGATGCAGAAAGGACACTGGGGTTACGAGGCAGCACTCAAACTGCTCAGGCAGCTGTGATGAATGGCATCTCCAGGGACTGTGTCCCATGGGTGCCCTGCAGGCCTGACTGCCAGCTGACCTGCTTCCCCTTGGCAGGGTGGCCTGGGCTCAGCCACACCTGGCTGCATTGTTCCCACCCAAGCTGTGGCTGGAGCAGGGGCTGCCAGGCACTGTGAATCTTGAGCCACATCCACTAATATCCAGGCGGTGCTGTGTGGCCTTGAACACAGCACTGCCCCCCTGCTGTGCCTCAGTTTCCCCATCTTGTCCTATAGCTCACAAGATCAGGGACCAGCTTTGACACTAGCCTCTGGGAGGGGAGGCAGGCAGCTCCAGAGGAACTGGGCTGGGGCACAGGCTCTGGGTCAGGGAACTCTTTCTGCCAGTAAAAATCCAAGGCTTGGGGAAAGAGGCCACTGAGCAGCCCTGAGCAAAGCCAGTGAAATGCATTCCACCCTGCAAGGAACAACACGGGTTCATTCCTAATCATCTTCCCAGCCTGGGAGGCTGGTAGGCAGAGGCTGGTGATATCCTCAGATGTAGCAGGTAGACTGACCAGTCCCTATGTGGTGGTGTTTCATCGCTTGGGGGCTGGGTAGGGAAGTTGCTCTCTGTGAATCATGAATTACACAATTCTATAATAAAACCCTGTTCCTATTCAACTGAGGATGGGGAAATGTTAAAAATAGCCCTGGCCTCCTTGTGGCAGCTCCATGTACCACTCACCAAGCAGGAATCCCCTCACGGCCCTACCCCAGAGGAAACCAAGGCACCAGCTACATTGTCCCCAGACAGCATGTGAGTGAAGGTCAGGCCCCTGGGATTAGAGCTGCCCAGCACCATGAATGAGATGTGCCCCCTTGTAGCATGAGTATGCAACAGCTCTCTGCACAGTGTAAGCATATCATGGAGCCCCTGTCCAACACATTTGCCATATGTGCCACATCAGTGTGACACGTGTAGGATACATCCCCATACAGCACATATGCATGAGGCAGCCCCTTAGAAGTGTGAGTGCACACTTCTGTGCACAAAAGGCCCACCCAGGTAGCACTTGCACCCAGGTCAGGCATCTCTCCTTGCTTCCCATAAGGGAGCTCCACTATGCCACTTGCCCCAGCCCAGGACCTCACCCCTGAGGACCACCCCTGAAGCCTGCCCTAGCCCCAAGCCCAGGGCACCAGGACTCTAACCATGATAAAGTAAATAGCCCCACTCCCCTCTCTGGCCTGCACCACCCGGGGGCAGGAAAGGGACCAGTTTGGCTACAGGGCTCCCTCCCCACACCTGCCCCCCACCCCCAAACAGGGCAGGGCTGGAGGGCACAGACATCAGAGCTCCCAGGTGAGGCACCCAGCAGGGTTGGGCAGACACAGTCCACCACTCCCCAAAGAGCCCTGGCTCCCAACCAGACAGCAAGGACACTGACTGCCCTGCCCTTGCTCCAGGGCAGGACTGAAGGGTCACTGTCTGACCAGGGCACAGGCAGTCAGCAGGGTTGTGGGGGAGGGCTGGGGGTTAGGGAAGCGTTCAGAGCAGGGGATATTGAGATACAGTGCCAGCTCCCATATCCAGAACCTCTGCCCACTGCCACCCCTCCCACTCTGCACATCTCCCACTCTGTCTATTTATCCATTTCCTACCTACCAACCCTCCTGCTTCCACTCCCTGGGCAGCTCCTGAGCTGTGACTCCCAACCCCTTTTCTCCTCACAGCCGCTCCTCAAATCTCTACTTCTCTGGTTGGCTAATTCATTCTTTCCTAATACAGACAACATTTCCGTATGGCTCGCCACAACATCTGTTTTCTCTTAGCCTCCTCTAAAGGAGAAACTTGTTTTTTGGGCTCTGCCACATGCTCAGCCTGCCCAGTCCAGAGGCCACCAGTGCCAAGGTGGGTAGCTGCAGGAAGCCAAGCAAGGGTGGGGGCAAGAGTGAAGGGGAGGACAGCAGTGCCAGCACTGTGACAACAGGCACTAGGTGCCTGCCCCCTCTATACAACCCATTCCCTCCTCCTGTGCCCCTACCCCATCCACGCTCCTCTTTCCCCTGCCAAGCTGTGGGGGGAAAAGTCTGGGAGAGTGGGCACAAGGACTCACCGTGGGTGTTAGGCTGGAGAACTGGGAGCTGCTGCTGAACCATCAACAGCATGAGAGTTACTGCCAAGAA